GACTAACACTTTTCTGTATTTAGCTGATGCCTATTATTATGTTATGGGAATTGATACTATCACAACAGATCTGTAGAGCCCTACTTCATGATTAATACAGGATCAGAATGGTCCAACATAAATCTTGAAATATTGACACTTTACTGCAAAAAGTGAAAAGTGAAAAAATCTCTCAGTGACTATTGGATAAGTTACAACAGTCCAACACTGACAGGTTATGCTTGAGCCCGCATGATTCTTAAAATTGATGATAAACCCTCATTCTCAAAAGACATGCAGCTGTAGACTAATTTAGGTCAAATTATTTCTCTATTAAGCACAGCTTTTTATACCATTTATTAAATAATGCTCATGTAATAGTAACGAAGTGACGTTCCAAAACTGTAGCGCAGTTTTGCATAGATTTCCTTAACTGTCGAAAATACAATTTCACACCTAAGTAGCAATCTTACTGACACACCAGAAAAAGGATGTGCTCTGACACATTCAAGAATTTGTTCTTACTGTTCTTTGCACCCCCTTCCAGAAGAGTGTCTTTTTATTTTGGCAATCTTACAAGTAAAGAAAAAAATTGTAGAAACCCCCCTGTGGCTTAATGTTGCCTATTGTGTGTAAAATTGAGTTTACTAACACTTTATTAAAGTGGATATTTTGTAGGTGTTGTGCCTTTTAATAAGCTTAACTCTATATTCGACTTTTGGGTTATCTTCGTAGAGATTTCTGTGCTAAGCAGTTTGTTTCGTCCGATGTTGTTGTAGTTGTTGCAGGGATAAGAAATTGGGTCATTAAATTGCAAATCATAATCCTTTTGTTTAGCTGCTAGCAAAATCTGATTGTAAGTGGGTGTTATTTGTGTATTTTTTGAACTTCTCTAAATTTTACAAAAATAAAGGTACATAATATTTTGTGAAAAGGGTAGAAGGACTTAAGTTAATATATAAATAAATATGCAAAAATGAAAGGAGTCAAACTGTGCTTTATTTTGAAGCAAATTTTTATGCAATTATGAAAGCGACAAAGTAGATGTTTCTGAAAGATTTCCTTTTCGTTACATTTTCAGTTGAAATAAAACATTTGCTTTTCTTCAAGTTCTGCACTTTATAAAAAGCGACTGATATACGATTGAGTATATCAGCAGCTCGAGAATTTAAACAAAAATTTTCTTTGATTATTTGCATGAATTATTTAACTGCAGTTGCTTGTATTCCCATTACAGGAAATTAAATAATGTAAAATATTGTTCTGTCAATGGATTTCCATTTGGAATCTATTTTGTAGATTTCTCAAACATTTACTTTAAGTCGATTTGGTTCCACTAGTTCCATAAGCAGACATCTACTTAGTCACAAGTAGAAATATTGGCACAGTTTTCCAACTTCACAGCGGAAAGGCTAGTTCTTCCATATTTTGCCGTATTTAGGATGCCTAAGGGATTTTATTTTGTACTTTTTGTTGTTGTTTTTTAAATGAATTTTTTCTATATTTTTATATATTTTTATATTTCTATAGTTTGTGTTTTCAAGTAGCAAATCGGTTGCACTTTGTTTGCCAATTGAATTTACACGTTTTCCTCACAACCTTTATTATAAATGCTGGCGTATTCTGCTGAGAGCTTGTAATTCATTCTGTTCCATTTCTTCCCATATCTTCCCTTTTCCGTTTTTCCATTTTTCCTTTGTTTCCTTTATGTGTCTCTTTTGTTTTTTATTTTTGTTTGTTTTTGAAGTTTAAAGTTTTTCATGTCAAAACGTTTTAACCTGTTATTTCTAAGTTTTTTCCCGTGGAATCTCGTGTTGTTGATAAGAGGTCCTTAAGTAAGTTGAATGCTACGAAATTGTTGAAGCGAAAACGTAAGCGATTATAAAAATATTTTAAACTTTAATTCATTAAAATTATTCGAAGATAGCAAGTTCGAGTTAACTTTTAGAAGAAAAAAATGTGCTGTTGTTGACAAATCTTTTAGCTTATGGACATCAATGACAGAAAGGATGTGTAACGAAAGAAAGATAAATCCGCTTTGTATTTGGAAGTCCTTTTTAATTAACTACCTGAAGTTTTCCTGAAGTTTCTGAAAGTTAGTTGAGCAATCAGCACAGTTGGTCAAACAATGCAAAAGAAGCCACAGAAAAATCTATAATTAAAAAAATTACTTTTATGTTTTGAAATGAGTACTAATAATGAAATTATGACAAACATTATTGCATTATATTAGTTACTTTTATGACAGTATTTTCGTTTCAAAACCCTTTTTATACTATAAAATTTTTCTTTGAGTTTTGATTAATAATTTCAATTAACAAAGAGTACCGTCGCTATGATTTGATTATTTTATCGAAATTTTCATTTCTTCTATTTAGGATCTACTTTGAAAGTTCAGATAACTGCGCTATATTAACGTCTTAGAGTAATTTTTTTATGTAGTAAACGCTGTGTGTAATAGATTAGCTTACAAACCTCTCTGCACTATACAATTATGTAAGTTCCCGATTTCCTTTTTTATTTTTCCTAATTTGTAGTTTTCCTAGCCGGATAAAATTAATAAATTTTAAGAAGTCTGCTTAACAGAGACTTCCTAGATTTTGTTTGTAATCTAATAGTTTTAGTTAATAATGTAAGTTTATATTTTTTCTCAAATAAGAGGATCCTTCACTTTAAACTTTTATATTGGCACTATTCATATTTTATTAGTAAATGTTTCTTTCTCACACATATTGTAGGCAAAAATTGATGAA